AAATGAAAATGCCAATAAAACATACAAGTATCTATGGGACACAATGAAAGAAGTTCTATGTGGAAAAGTCATAGCACTGAATGCCCACACTAGGAAAACAGAGCACGCTCAAATAAACAACCTAATGATGAATCTTAGACTACTAGAAAAGCAAGAGCAAGAAAAACCCAAAGCTCGAACAAGAGAGGAAATTATAAAGATCCAAACAGAAATCAATACAATGGAAACTAAGAAAATGATACAAAAAATAAATGAATCAAAGAGTTGGTTTTTGAAAGAATAAATAAAATTGACAAACCCTTAGCTAACCTTATCAAAAAAATGAAAGAAAAGGCTCAGATCCATTCAATCAGGAATGAAAAAGGTGAAGTCACAACAGATCCAACAGAAATCCAGAGGATCATGAATACCTACTTTGAGAACCTGTATTCTAATAAAATGGAAAACACAGAAGAAATGGACAGATTTCTAGATACTTATGAGTTAGCAATGTTGAACAAAGAAGATAAAAATATTTTAAACACGCTAATTATAGTCAGTGAAATTGATAATGTAATTAAAAAATTTACCAACAAAAAAAATCCCGGGTCCTGATGGACTCATTGTTGAATTTTACATGATATTTAGAGAAGAACCCCAGCCTTGACTCTTCAAAATTTTCAATGAAATTGAAAGGGAAGCAATACTCCAAATTAGTTCCTGGAAGCAAGTATCACTTTGATTTCCAAATCAAGGATAGATACAACTAAAAAAAGAGAACTACAGGCCAATCTCTTTAATGAATATAGATGCAAATTCCTTAAAAGATACTAGAAAACATAATACAGAGGATCATCAAGAAGATCATACATCCTGACCAAGTCGGATTTATTCCAGGGATGCAAGGATGGTTCTACATACATAAGTCAGTAAATGTAATACATTATATTAACAAAGTCAAGGACAAAAACCACGTTATCCTCTCAATAGATGCAGAAAAAGCATTTGACAAAATTCAACAACCATTCATGATAAAAAAACCCTGCAAAAAATTGGAACAGATGGTCTATATGTCAATTTAATAAAGGCTATCTATGAAAAACCAATAGCCAACATCATATTAAATTGCCAAAACTGAAAACCTTCACATGAAAATCAGGAACAAGATAAAGATGCCCACTATCACCACTCCTCATTGATATAGCTCTGGAAACATTAACCATAGCAATTAGACAAGAGAAATAAATCAAAGCAATAAAGATAGGAATGGAAGAAATTAAACTGTCATTATTTACTGTTGATATGATACTCTACATTGAAGCCTCAAAAAACTCCACCAGAAGACTACTAGACTTAATTGACACTTTTAGCAGAGTAGCTGGATACAAGCTGAACACCCAAAAATCAATAGCCTTCTTGTACACAAATAACAGACTCACTGAGAGAGAAATTAGGGAAACAATTCCTTTCACAATATCATCCAAAAAAATGAAGCATCTAGGAAACAACCTAACAAAAGAAGCAAAAGACTTCTACACTGAAAACTACAGCACTCTGAAAAAAGAGATCGAAGAGGATATAAGAAAATGGAAAGATATCCCCTGCTCATGGGTAGGAAGAATCAACATAGTGAAAATGGCCATACTACCAAAAGTGCTATACAGATTCAATGCAATGCCAATTGAAATTCCAACACTATATTTCACAGAACTAGAAAAAAGAATCCAAAAATTCATTTGGAACCATAAGAGACCTAGAATAGCAAATGCCATCCTAGGAAACAGACATATGACAGTGGGTATAACAATTCCCAATTTGAAACTATACTACAAAGCCACTGTGATAAAAACAGCATGGTACTGGCAAAGAAACAGACCTGGGGATCAGTGGAACAGACTGGAAGACACAAAAACAAATCCAGATGTACTCGGCTACAAAGGAGCTGACCATCCTCAGTGGAAGAAAGATAGCCTCTTTAATAAATGGTGTTGGAAATACTGGATCTCAACCTGCCAAAGATTAAAACTGGACCCTTATATTTCACCATGCACTAAATTAAAATCCAAGTGGATTAAAGATCTAAATATTAAAACAGAAACACTAAACTTGCTGGAAGATAAGTAAGGCAGAACTCTTGAAGACGTAGGGAGAGATTTTATGGCATAGGATGTAATTGGCAAAAGAAAAGATTTTATGAACAAATCCTCAGTAGCACAGGAACTAGCAGAAAGAATTAACAAGTGGGATCTCATCTTATTAAAAAGCTTCTGCACTGCAAAAGAAAGCATCAACAGAACTAAAAGACAACCTACAATGTGGGAAAAACTTTTTACCAGCTGCTCCTCAGACAAAGGACTATTATCTAGAATACATAAAGAACTCAAAACCATCAGCCCCCCCAAATATAAAGACCCAATTCAAAAATAGGCATCTGAAATTAACAGACATTTCTGAGACAAAGAAGTAAAATAAATATATGAAAAAATGTTCCCCATCACTGGTCATTCGAGAGATGCAGATGAAAACAACACTGAGATTTCACCTCACCCCACAAAGAATGGCTGCTATCAAGAAATCACACAATAACAAACGTTGGCGGGGTTGTGGGGAGAAAGCAACCCTTCTCCATTGTTGGTGGGAGTTCAGACTGGTGCAACCACTATGGAAATCAATATGGAGGTACTTCACAGAGCTGGGACTAGGGGTTCCATTTGACCCAGCCATCCCTCTGCTGGGTACCTTTCCAAAAGAATTAAAAGAATCATATCACAGAATTATATGCACACCTATGTTTATAGCAGCACAGTTTGTAGTAGCTAAAACTTGGAATCAGCTCATTTGCCCATCAATTGGAGACTGGATAAAGAAAATGTGGTTTTTCTGTAAAATGGAATATTACTCAGTCATAAACAATGAGAAATTAGTTTTATTCATAGGAAAGTGGATACATATTGAGGATATACTCCTAAGTGAAATAAATAAATCACCCATGTGTAAATACTAAATAGTTTGGTGTGCATAAACTAAAATAGTACATAAGATCCTAATGATATAATGGACAAAGTGAAATAGGAAGAATGGGGCTAATGGTGTAGGGAAAGTGAAAAGGGTAGGGGAAAGCTAGTAAGGGAAAAGAAAAAATATGAGAAAATGAAAAAATGGAAATGAAGTGTTTGTAAAGGGAGGGGCGGGAGGAGGGGTAAAGGGAGGGCAGGGACAAAGGGAACAAAATGAGAACCAAGACCTGTCATGTAAAGGTGCAAGATCCCAATAATGAGTGTAATTTTACTGTATACCTAAAATGTACCAATAAACTCAATGAGAAAAAAAACTACAATAAAAGATTTCTTTAAAAATAAAATATCCTATCAGAAATGCTTATTAATGAAGTTTTGAAATCAGAGACTTCCAGAAGGATATAATTTTAAAACAACTTGTGTCAGAATTCCTCAAATGTATTCACACACATTCATAAATAACCATATCATAACAGCTACTATTCATTGACAATTTTTTTACAAGCAATACAGTTACATTTATCATTGGGATTTTGTACCTTTACATGATATGTCTTGGTTCTTGTCCTCCCTTCATCCCCTTCACCCTTCCCTATTTACAAAGACTTTGTTTCCATTTTCTTCCTTTTTCACATTTTTTCTTTACCCTTATTTCCTTTCCCCTTCCCTTCCTATGTTCCCTTTAACCACTTTCTTCCTATTTCTCAATTATACCATTTAAATCTTATTTACACTTTATTTTTTTTATCCCAGAGAAACTATTTGGTATTTACTCAAATGTGTCCATTTTACTTGAGTGTAGCCTCAGTGTGCATCCATTTAGCTAAAAATGTCTCTAGTTTCCCATTCTTTATGGCTGAATAGTACTCCATTTCATAGAAAACCACGTCTTATTTATCCAGTCTCCAGTTTATGGTGATTTATTTGGGTTGTTTCCAAGTTTTAATTAGCTATTACAAAATGTACTGTTATAAACATGGGTGAGCATATGCAATTGATTGTATAATAGATACTATGTTAGACTCTATAGATATCAATTTCTTAACCTTTAGAAGATTATATTTCACATATATTATAAATATGTATGTATATAATATATGAAGATATATATATATAGTTATGTATGGTAATATATTTATTAATGAAAGAAAGTAATACTTGGGACTGAGACACTGAGGGAAGTGCAATTATTTTTATCATTTGCCTTTTAAAAATGAGATCCTTTCAAGGCAGGCTAAGGCAAATCTAGGTAAAACAATATAAATTCTACTTCCAGCAGGCAATCCACATACACTGTTGACAAATATGCACTTGAGAGCTAGCATATCAGGAAGTTTAAAAAAAAAACTAAGCATATAATATATATTTGGAAAACCAATGTAAACTTTGTTCATACATATTATTATTACAAAGCTTATTGAAAAAATTAAGCAATTTGATTAAAATACAGAAAATCATTTGTGAAATAAGTTCTATGCAATCTATGGCAGACTACACTAAGGTTTAAAAAATCCTTTTCTAATACATTAAAAATAAACACCCTCTAAAACATGCTTAACTATCATACTAGTTACCTAAGGGAAGAATAATATTTTTGTAAAATTGTGCATTCATCATGATTGAAAGAAAGCTACAGTCTTATCTGTAAAATTGAGTATAGCAAATACTCACTGATTGAGTGGGGTTATCTCAAAGGACTTAACTGCACACTCTTCTAGAGGCTTTCCCATCAATTGCACATTTAAAAGAAATTTGTTTTATTACCACAAACGAATCCCCAATGAATCAGCATGCTTGTCTAAGTATTATTAAGATTGTAATGTAAAACCAAAACAAACTAGAACCACTTTTTCCAGTCTTCTATAAATCTTTTGGTTCCTTTTTGTCATTGAAAACCCATTTAATTTTCCTCAAGAGGTGTATGGTTGCAGAAACTATGTTATTCAAGAATAGTCTTTCAGCCCTTGTAGAAGGCAAGGAAGGATATATGCTTGGCTGACTTACTCAGGGTTGTTGCAGTGCCTCTCTGCATTCTGCACTCCAGCCCCACAGGTCCTGGAACAGTGCGACCACGGTGACCAGAGGCCCCAGCCTCCAGGGATGCTCTCTGGTTTCTTCCCCACTGTGATGCACTTGCCGGCCATGCACCACTGCAATGGGAAGAGGCAGGAGCTAAATTTGTCAGAAAGTCCTCCAGAAAACTGAGCCAAGAGCTCTGGAAGTCTAAACTCAATCCTCCCCAGGAAAGTAGGCTTCCTACAGTCACATACAGGATACAAAACAAAGAAGAGCTTATAAAATAGTGTCCCCAGAGTCCCAATTTTTAGAATAAAAGATTTTCAGGGATGAAGAGAACTTCACAGTGTCTAGTCACAGTCAGGGCAAGATTGCTGCTGGGCACTTGGTTAGCGGATTGCATCCTAGAATATGAATCAACAAACTACTTCATTCATCAAGAAAGTCTTGCTACGGAAAGTGTGTCAACTTAGTACACTTAATATCACAGTTGTTTAGTTGATTTAACTTCAGGTGTAAGATCTTTATCTTCATGCAAAGTAAAAAAGGTGAACAAACAAAAATTAAAACAAAAGAAATGAAACTTAGTTGTCAGAATAGCCAAATTTCCTGGAGGATTTGGGGACACTTTATCTGCTAGACTCTTTTTTCACTCATTATTTCTAATTATTGGGGATTTAACCAGGTTCTGTCATCTCAGTGATGGCCATGCTACATTCAAGCTGCATAAAGATACCAAACTCCTAAGCCCTAGGCCCACAACACATCTAACTGGCTTAGGTGAGCAGCATGAGTCACCCTGTTCTCAAATAGTCTGGAGGATATCTAAGGACTCTGGGTTCTTGGGTGCATTACCTTCCTGCTTGGTAAAGTAGGTAGAACTACAAGAAAGACAATGTCAGAAAATGAGAAAAAAGACTATAAATTGCCCAAATCTGATATTTTTGAGAAGAAGAAGTTATGGTCTTGTTCTTCATGGATCTGCGGGATGGAAAGGAAAAATGTCAACATGAAGGCTGATAAAAGGATCAGCAGATAGTTTTGATGAGAACCTCCACAGAAGTTTAGCAGGGAAAGATAGGACAGATGTTTTGCGAATCAAGTGTGGAGATGGGATCAGCCCTCTTCTGACTACTTGCTCCCAGTAAAGGCTCAAAAGCCTAGTGGAAGCACAATCCTCTCTGCGGGCAGTCTGATCATGTGACCTCCTCTCCCTGTTCTTTACCTAGAGAGAGCTTCACCCCTCCCCACAGCCCTACTCCTTAACTCTGCCCAAGGACCCTAGGTCTACCACCCTCCCCCCTCCCTTCCTCAGGACAACGTTTCACCTTCTTCTCACCACATCGGGTCCCGTCGGCAGCAGCATCCAGCTTAGAGCGACAGAAGCCTTTCACTGAGCACCATAGCGTCTGACAAACATTCTGGAAAACAAGAGAGAGATTTTGAAACTTGCACTAAAGCATTTCTCCAGTTATAGTAAAACAGACACACACAACATGTGCCACTGTTGTTAGTGAATAAAAGTAAATCATTAGAGGCCTTACTTTCAACTCTGCTTGGTCTTTGTCATCATTCATAAAACAATGTCTGCAGGCCATGACAGGAGATGTACAAATAAGAGATGAAACCCAGTTCTTAAATTCAGACCATCATTTTTCTGTGTGGGACAACTCATTAAACTTGGGCAGATAACCAATGACATTAACTATCAAAGGCAACTTCAAAACTCGGCTGATTACAAACAGCTGGGGTGTTTACAAACTTGAGCCTGCTCCCTGAAGGAAATGAAGCTATGCCGCTCAGAAAGATTCAGATTATTTGTTCATTACCCAGAGTAATCAGTTTGTTTTAGCTGCATATCCTGTTACTTCCAGCCCTGTGCTCACATGGAAGGATTGACATTACCTTTTAGCTACTTAGAGTTGTTTCTTAGGTCTCTGTTCGGTTCACTCCTTTTCTGTCATTTTTGTACACTCATATTCCATCATTCTAGTCACTGAATACGTTTATTCATCATAAAATTTCAGATTTGAAAAATTTTAGAAAATTCTCAGTGTTTATCTACCTGAATTCTACCTCTCCATTCTCTCATTCCAGAGCCCATGTTTTGTGTTGATGAACTATCCTTTCCTGTCCTTCATATGTTAACTCAGCTTCCACATCTCCCAGCTCTAAATTGTATAAGAACTTGCAGAATTTTCCCTCTTCTTCATATAACTCTTAGAAACAAGCAAGTGGTGTGGGAAGTAAGTTTTCCAGCTCTAAATGACGTTTGATGTTTCCCTTCCATTGTTGTCAAGTCCGCTGTTTCATTCCACTTATTAAATTTTAAGCCATTAACCATGTTTTTCATTTCTAGAAGTTATATCTATTTTTCCTTGTATTTGCCTTTCACCCAGTTTAGTGTTCTTTTGATATACAGATTTCATTTTATGCATTTGTTATTATTTCTATTAAAACTAAGTTATCAAAGGTTCTTGAGGGGCTATTATTTGAAGCTAAGGATTCTATTTTGAATTAGAGGCTGAATTGGGAACTCAGTCAAAAAGTGGGTTTATCGACTGAAGTTTTGTGAACCTTGGTTGGGTGTTGGTTTTTCTAGGGCAGTTTCACCTTTATCCCCAGCCCTTATGATATTATTGGGCCAAATGCCATGATTTTTATTATTTTTTGGCATGAGAGTACTCCAACACTACAGGGTAGAAATTTGAACTCTGACTCAGGATCAAGTTGGCTCAGAGTAAAGAATCTGCAAATGAGAGAGTTATCCATCAGCATTCCCTTCATCTTTTCACAACAGAAGCCAGGATAAGCTAAAAGACTCTTCTCTGTCAAAGCCCTTTGCAAATGGATTTGTTTTAGTTCATCATTTCTGTGCAGAACAGCCCTTTGAAAAGTCCAGCTTTATGTAAGGTTCTTGGCCCTGCTCAGAGAGACATGTCATTGTCGGTTGTCATTCTTATGCTAAAGTCCAAGTTCTTCTGCTATTTCTATATAACCTTAATTTCACACTCTTAGTACTCTCCTTCTTAGTTCTTCCCTGCCTCCACCCTGAAAATTCTTCAACTTTCTTTTAAGCTCACTATGAACTTATAAAGGATGATGTGCCAGGTGAGAGGTACACAGAAACTCTGTACTATTTTTGTAACTTTCTTGGGTTTTAAACTACTTCAAAATAAACAGTTATAATAAAGATGAATGATACTATATTTTTTGATATTTTTATTTTTCTTTTGATAGTGGAAATGACTATGTTATCTTGGCTACAATAAAAAAGAATTCCAAGTCTTCACTAACTTAGCTCCTGAGTAACTATGTACTACACAATACTGCGTGTCAGTGTCAGGGATAATGATTTCCTCAGTGAGTTTAAAATATACTACAAGAGAATATAGATAAGTAAACAAGAAACTCTCTCTCTCTCTCTCTCTCTCTCTCTCTATATATAT